TCTTGCAGATAAAACAGGATGTCAACTCTATCTTAGACTTTTTCAATGCGTAATAGCATAAAGAAGGGGATTAAGTTCGTATGGGATTAGATTCAGTGATTTTTTTTAATTATCAATGAACTACATAATTTGAATATGGAATAAGTATACGGGTCATTACACTGCGGATCCAAGTTGTAAACACTTTTAAAACGTTAAGCCTCTTCAGTGTTAAATGTCATGAACTAATTATAAATTTTTCACACACTACGAAACGTGTAAAAAGTGTCTATAAATCATGCATAGTTTGTTAATAGGCATTTGACATTGAACACATTTTACGCGTATTATTTTAACACGTTTGTGAAATCCTGGGATTTGCAGTGTAGTCTTTAAATATACTAAATAAAAAGTTAGTAACTTGAAATAACATCTAAAATCGTCTGTCCGCAAGTTTAAATAAGTATTATGGAGTCTGATTTAAGCGCTGACAAGGATCGATCGTGTTTACGTTTTGTGTCCGTTTTACGTGTCTAACAACGTATTCTGTGCTGGGTTTTGCCTGCGTCTAAGGTTAATCTTGTTAAAAGTGATGTTCTAATAAGTGATAAAAAATCAAAAAAAAAGGGCAAGCAGAGAACCATGAGCTTTCTGAGCCCAGGGAACTCCACCAATGGATCAGCCAACCCAAAAATGAATTTCTCAGAAGCTCTCATTACTGAATCTGTTCTTACCAAAGACTAAGCGATTATACTAGATGCAATAGAAGGCCTAGCCATCCACCAATATGCAATAGCTATTGCATCACTCTGTCGCCCTCAAAACATTTGACATATATCCAGAATATCCAACGGAAGAATCTGTATATATCTGGCAACGGCAAAAATAGCTGAGGAATTAGTCAACACTCACAGACGTATAGCCAATTAAGGCCATTCTCTTAGTATTCGCCTATTAATAGCACAACAAAAGGATTATTCTTTCAAATGTACACCCAATAATTTCCAATCGTTTAATTGAAGATAAACTACTGAGTCTACAAATCTACACTGTCTCGAAAATAACTACACTGCGAGTGGGTCTCAACCTCCCTGGCTTTTAACATATCCTTAGTTTTAGACGGCAAGTATACATCAAATCATCGCTTGACAGTATGGTATGCTTTTTCTGTGAAGGTGAAAGCTACCTTGCAAAATCGTGCCCATCTACCAGCAATGTAAACACTACTCGAGGCTCTGAGTCTAACGTGAGAACCACTGACAACGCTTCACAACCAGTAAGCACTATCGATAATGAAAATAATCTTATTGATTTTGAAGAGCGATTTCCACCTCTTCCCCCGAAACCAGCTCTGGACAATGGCGAAGGTAATAAACTAGCTGCTTCCTCAACCCCAAAGAAACGCCAGTTATCGGACACCTCACCCAGTTTGCTAGAGAGTTCCTCCTCCTCTTACAGAAACAGATGTGTGTATCCTCGTGCCTTTCTAAAGGCGCGAGAATATTACGTCCCAAGTAACGCCGTCACAAGAAGTAGAACCATTCCCAGATTTATGCCCTATAAGGCGAGGTACTCAAGTAAAATGTCCTTCTCAGGACGGGGAAACAAGGACTCTCACAAAAACGTCGTTTTCACTAAGCCTGACCTTACTCCAAAACGCCGTCCCGCAAAAAAAATTAAAACTGCTCCAAAACCACAATCGGCTCCTACACCACTACCTATCCCAGCTCTGGAAACAGTCATCAACGAAAATCCCCATGACTTTAAGTACAGCCACTCTCGGCTTTACAGAATTTCTCAACAAGTCATTTTCCTATTATAATACACAAGAGACGCTGACTCAATTAAAACTCAACTCGATGGAACTCACCTCAATGATGAGAAAGCTTTACTTGTATCCTCCTAGTAAAAATCTCAAAAACAGATTTACCAGACTTATCAACAAGCTCGAAGCCGGTTTGTTTTCCTCTGATGGAGAATCTGACACTTACGCCTCTGATTCTAGCCTCATGGAGCTGAAAGACTTGTTGACTCCTCCAAGCATTTCCCTTCTTCAGTTAAACCACAGCTTACCTCTCTGATAATTTTTTTTTGGAACGCAAGAAGCATCAATCTCTGCCATCTAGATCTTGTACGTCTTAGCTCCAATCTAGATATTATAATTTGTGTTGAAACCTAGTTAGTCCCTGAGGTCAACTTTTCCTGTCCAGGTTTTCTCGCTTACAAGAAGAACAGCTGAAGTAAGGTCATCATGGTAAAGGTCCATGATGAATTGATAGGATCGGACCACTTCCCTACCTTTATTAATTTATCATTAGAGAAAAACTACTGTAAGAAAAAAACGTTTAAACTAAGCTCTCTTCGCACCAACTGGATCAAGTTTGAGAAACTTCTAAATGAGTCATTCTTTGAGTTTCTAATACCTGGCCACGAGGAACTATCTGCCAGTGAAAAGTACAATTTCTTTATGAGAATCGTCTCTGATAGAATTATCAACAGCTCTTCCCAGAAAAAACAATATTCAAAAGAAACCCCCTTCCATGGTGGGACACAGAATGTTATAAAGCTGTAAGACTCAAACGTGCAGCATACAAGAAATGGCGACATACTCGCAATCTCCCAGATTATTTCAAGAGATTGTGCGCCTCCGCTCGCAGAACTTTTAGAGCCAAGAAGAGAGCATGCTTCAGAAGATTTGCTGAAAGCATTGACTTCAGAACCAATCCTACCTACGTCTGGAATAAGTGCAAGATATTCAAGAACGCTTGGGTAAAAACTTCTCTTTATCACTCAGTCAGCAACATTCAAAATCGAGGCAACATAGATGCTGCCATCAACAAATTGTGCCCAGCTTGGGTTTCCACCGATCCTAACTGGCTTCCTACATCTCAAGAAAATGAACTTTTTGATACTTGCATATCGTTCACTGAGTTCAACATTACTCTAAACTCTAAAAAGTCTGGTTCTGCTCCTGAAGTAGATAGAGTTGACTTTGAAATCATAAAAAGTTACCTATAAAATACGAATTGTTGTTGCTGGACATCTTCAACCAAATGTACTCCACTGGTATTTATCCTGACTACTAGAAAGTATCCTTCATCCATTTTATATCCAAAGCTGATAATGTTGAACTTCAACTCATTGTTCTCACTGCCTGTATGAGCAAACTAATGGAAACTACTATCAAAAGTAGACTGCAATGGTGGGCAGAATTCCATGGGCTTCTTCCAGCTTCACAACAGGGCTTCAGAAATGGAAGATCTTGCCTAGATAACCTTGCAATTCTGTCGTTAATTATAGATGATGCATTTCTTCAAAATAAAGAGGTCATGGCCGCCTTTCTAGACGTGCACGGCGCATTTGACAATGTCAACTCTGACATTCCCCTTAAAAAATTAGCGTCTACAAAACGGAGTAAGATCTGTGTTCAAAGGGGTACCTCAAGGAGGAGTGCTCAGCCCACTTCTATATATGCTTTACGTTTCAAATGTAACGGATAATATTTTCTATTCTATTTCAGTTCTACAATTCGCTGATGATATTGGAGTACACTGTGTTAGCGGTGGAAACAGTAGAGCTGTTAAAAATCTCCTATTGGAGCGTGCCATTTCACTAATCAAATACAATCTCAGAGATCTTGGGCCAGACCTCACTCCAAGCAAGATCTCTTTCATCGATTTCAATCGCAGAAACATCAAACCTGGAGATCTGGCTATCACCATTGATGGTCACACGATTAAATCAGTGGACAGAACTCGTTTCCTAGACATCGTCTTTAATCATCAGTTGTCATTCAAATTCCGTTTAGAATTCATTCACAACAAGTGCCAGCGCTCTTTAAATATCATCAACTTCCTATGTGGTAAATGGTGGGGTAGTAATCCAGTCACTCTCCTTGCGCTCTACAAAAGCTTTATACACTCTATTATTGAATATGGTGCATTTATTTATTTTCCTAAACGGAGATCTGAGAGAGATAAATTGGAAAAAATTCAGTTTACTGCTATAAGAGCTGCGTTAGGCTACAGACGAAGTACTCCTACCAACATCATCTTGTCTGAATCCAAGCTCATGTCCATCACAGAGTGTCTTGCGATCAAGATGGCTTTGCAAATTGCTTCAGAAAACCTGTCTTCAGGCTCTCTAATTCTCTGTCAAAACTAACCCATTCATACTAGACATTAGGCCACTAGGTCTGATGTTATTCACATTAACAAACTTCCATTTACTGACTTCACTGGGACCTTCAAAGTCTGCGGAAAGCTCGCGACTAGTCTCATCCTAAGAAGGCAGGGAGAGTCTAAAGGAAAAATATTCTTCAATCATCAGTACGAAACCATCTCTACTAAGCCCTGGTTTGCCAAAAATAAAAACTTCAAACGGGATTTCATTGTCACCATTAAATGATGTCGAGCTAATCATTACCACCTAGCATTACCACCTCCCTTCACAGAGTGGGTATGGTGAACAGCCCACTGTGCAAGTGTAAACAATCTAATTAAGACCTCAACCACGTGATCTGGCAGTGTGCTCTCTACTCCACTCAACGTGCCTCCTTGGTTCGCAAACTGAAACTGATTCACCACCAGCTATCTCTATGTGTAGAAATGTTTCTGGATGAACCGGATGTTCGAGCTTGTTAATTAATCCATACATTTTTTGAAGAATGTGGTCTAACTATATAAAGAATGTTCTCTCTATTCTGACTCTTCTAACCATTGTTTCTATTATATATCATTGAGTGTACCTATTATTTAATAGCTGTATTAAACCTCATAAGAGGTTTCCCTGGCTTCAATAAAAAAAAAATAAGTATTATCTTTCTCTAGGACAGAAAACTTTACTATTTAACTTGAAAACTTGGTCAGTAAAAGGCTTTTTTGCAGACTCTATTTTTCCCATCCTCGCCTTTTGGTTGAGAAGTATTTTTATACAGTCTTCAAAAACCCTTTTACAGCTCCCGATACATAATGAACTATTGTATGAATTAGTTTTGGTAAAACAACCTATTATTGTTGTAGAACAAGGCCAAAGTACGAGTAAGAAGAAAACAACATTTTCGCGACTATTAAGAGGACTTAAAACTCATAAAAAAGAAAAACAAGGTCAATCACATGGATCGCCAAGGCATGGACGAACAAGAATGGGAGTGCCACAGAGGGTAAGTTAGATCAAATTTTAACACTTAGCTTAATTAAATATTTGAATTATATTTGGAAAAAATCAAAATGTTTTTATTAGTTTTCATTTTACTATTAATTGAATCTGTCACGCTTTATTCATGGAATATTCTTAGGTAAAACAATTTAGTTTTATGTATCTAAAAGTTATGCATTTTTCACTAATTAAATCATCGAATTTCATGGCTTTATACTAAATGCTATATTTAGTATTAATATTTCGTTTATGTTTTATATGACATCAAAAAGTAATTATGACGATACAATGAAAAAGAATTAACTTTATTGGCTCTTTTTTTACATAAAAAAATTTTCTAATTGCAAAAAATGGTGATTGCTTGCATAATATTTTGGTCTTTTGTACGAGTGTTGAATACATTTCAGGTGGACCTCTCATTTTTAAAATTGAAAAAAGTAAGCAATTGTTCAATTTTGGAAATAAAATGTCTGTTCAGCACACACATACATTATGGTACTAATATTACTATAAAAATATCTCGTTTTTTGTATGCTGTATCATAGAGAAGAAGATAGAGTTACGAATAACTTTTTATTTTTATTAAATTATATTAAACTTATTTAAATTACCACCGATCATCAATTCTCGAATTTTTTAGTGAAAAAATGACGGTGTATCTCACATCGTTATACCAAAATACTTGCAAAAACCCCATCTTTACGGTTCAACAATCAACATACTAGTGCAAGCGGAACTCTTTCAACGTTAAAAACATGAAATTTTTTAATTTCTTATTAGAATTATAGTAATCAATAGAATCTATGTAGTTTGCCAAAATCCAATACTTTTTCCCAAAAATTGGAAAAGGATTCTGCATCAGGTTTGGGGAAAGTTAGTCATATTATAGCTCTGGACAGGAAAATCATATCACCGATCATTTAGTGCTGATCAGTTTCACCAAATCATAATATACTTGACTTAGCTCGATGTAAATCAAGACTTACTACATTGCAAATTCGGGAAAATTCAAGTGTTTAGTAATAAAACGCTTGAAGTAATAAATAATTAAATACTTGAGTGTTTACAATGTTGAACACCATAAACAAAATATAGCAATTTGGTAAACGGCAAGAAACATTTAAAATTCGTGTACAAAATTACTATAGCTCATTTATGACATTTAACATCGTAATCACTTTGAATGTTTAGTTTCTAAACACTTGAATTTAAAGTCTACATGCGCTTAGTGCCGTATCATATTTTAATACTTTATTTTATTTTTCCATGATAACATACGACTTTCGTCTTATCTATTTTTTTGAGTAAAAATTTAAGATTGCAAGTAGCTAACGTTTTCTATAAAAAACTTATAATTCTTGTCAAGTTATTGTATAATTGGTTTTATTTCAAACACTTTACTATGTGCATTACATTCTTCTTAAAACCATTCAAGTAATATTAAATTTTGATGATCTTGATGAACATTTTCAAAGCTATGTAATCCACATTTCTTTAGTGTTTATAATATTTGGTATATATATATTATAGATTCAAACGGCAAATATTACATCTTGACTCTATTAAACGAATCAGTATATAGTCACTGATTATCAGCGACAATCTCATCACCGAGTTAATTAGTAGTCGGTTTGGCATTGACAACTAGTGAATAGTAACTGATTCACTGTTATTTTCAATGATTCAGATTAAAAGAATAGCTAATGAAATTTTAATACATTCATTAAATCAAAAACATTGTTTCAATTACCAATAGTTTAGAGTACCACTAGATAAAAACATTTATAAGAATATCAGTGTTCTCCAGTGGTCTTGGTTGCTTAATTATGTGTCGAATGCAATTGGTCCCACGTCGATATCATTATTTGTTCTCGAGATAATCGAGGCAAAAAATAATTCCGAACGCACATACGAACGTACGATTTGAAATTATGATAGTTTTTTAATATAAATAAACCACTTCAAGCTGATTTCGCATGCATCTTTTCTGAATTAACGTTTAAAACTTGATATTGTTTTTGAACGCTTAATAAAAGATCCTAACTATGCAAACTGTTTGCATTTTATATTCTTAGTAATATTGGAAAATAATAAATAATATATTTATTCAGATTTCGATGAATAAGAATATAAAAATTTACTATTTTTAGTGTGAATAGAAAAAAACTAATCATAAGAAGTAAGTATTCAACAACAAGTGTGATAATAAATATGAATACGCGAGTTATCACTATAACAATTGCAGCAGAGAAAAAAACAACGGCATACATTTTTCGAGTAATTTTCATTAACGTTGGTTACTAAAATATCATAGAAGGGAAGTAACAACAGAGACACAAAATGTAAAAAAAAATGTGTGGTCAGACAAAATTCAAGCAAGTGTTATTTTTTCGCCGTGAATACCTACTAAATCGTACGATCGAAAGAAAATGCGTTTACCACTTTATTAATTTTTTTCTATCAATCTTTCTTTACTTACTTTTTTATTTTATGCTTTCGGAATATGTCTGCATATTAAATAATCGATGGCACTCATCTCTCCGGAAAAAACGTTTTGTTTTTTTACGATCATCTGTTATACCATACGTCAAATAGCATTACGATAAAAAACAGTTACTTCAGCACGATGAGATGGAAGATTCAATCAAATTGACCAGGAGATAAATATTCGTGGTAAATGTATAATAATAATAATAATAATAATCAATTGAAGTCAACTAATCAAATTAATGAAAATAGATAATAATTGAGAGAAAGCTCCGAAATACGTGAGTACAAAATGGACAAACACAATCGACAGCTCGTAGATATTACTTTTATATTTTATATGTATATGTATTGCAAGGAAACACACTAGCAATTACTACATGTATATATTTGTGCCATTGCTATCAAACTTTCAGTAATTAATTTTCATAATCAATAAATTAACATAAATTCCATGAATTAATATTTCGTTGACAACTAGTATATTTAAAATGTCAATGATTATAAACATGAATAATATATGGATATTATTATAATTGATACAAAAAGTTAACCTATTTATCATTGTTAGCTATATTATTAATTGTATAAATATTCATGTCAAATAGATGCTTTGAAAAGGTCGCCAGTGCAGTTCAGTTAGTTGACCTTACATTGTTCTACTTTAAATTATATATTTTATATCTTATTAGAAAAAATTTAAATCACTGAAAAAAAAGGAAATTCTCAAGAGGTAAAGGTAAGAATGTTTAAATTTCAATTTAAGTTTATTCTAAGAATAAAAAAATTGGTGAAGGTTTAGAAACAAATAAAGTTGAATATTTTTTTAACTTTTTTTAACAACTATGAATCAATATCATTATTATATATTGGCATAAGATTTCAATCCAATGCAGGCGTAATTTTACATTCAAATCTTGTTCACAACCTTATTAACTTTTCATTAGGAAGTAATTGTAATGGGGTCGATTTTTGAAATTCGTAATTTTATCATGTCTTCACATTTTGAGACATTTCAAAGCATATTAAAAGATTTAAATATGCATGGATGTATGTATGTACGTATGTTGGATTTTTTTTCGTTTTTGATCTCTCGAGAATCACTGAAGATATCGACTTCAGACAAATTTCGTTTGAAAGGTAATACAATGAAGAAGACCTGGAAGAAGTTTAAACAAATTCGGTTTAGCCTTTTTTTTATAACAAAAAGAGTGCAAAATAAGTTGAGTAAAGAAGACATTTGTAATAGATTCTACTTATTAGATGATTAACATGACTGGTGACTGAAGCCAATATAATGTGGTTGTTAATAACGTCATATGACTCTGAACAATCATGTATTGTTTATAAAAAATTCAAATTATCATAAACAATTGAAAATGGTTTTAGTCTATTGAATTATAATGACTATGATGATATTCGATAAATATCAACGAATATTATTATAAATAACTTGATGTGATTATACAATTGTATATTGTTTATAACAATAGTAATTTTTTAGAAACAAAAAAACTAAAAGATGACAAAATTATAAATTTCAATTTATGGGAAGTTCGTCGTCAGGGCACAAACTAAGCCCAGACTCATTTTAAATTTCTTTTTTTGATAATGTACTCTTGAAAAACTTTGAGTCAGTGTAGTTAAATGAATATTTAAAAAAGTATATATATTGTAAAATATTTGTATGTCGCCATCTAATGACTATTAGACGAACGACAGTTTGTTAGTTAACGACGATTGCTTGACGATTAGATTGTTTACAGCAACGAGGGGAGAGTTTGTTTATCTCCAGTTTTTGACTGAGACTTGAGTTGACCGAACGGATTTTTTCTTTCTTATCAATTGCTGTTAATCTTTAATAAACTTTTTCCTTTATTTATTAATTTTCCAAAGTTGTTATTTGTTCTTATTTTACAATATATATATTGATCATTTATTTTAATTGTACACCTGGCTTTACCAGGTGTTTTACAATACTTCCTCCTTATCCTTACGATCGGGATCCTACGCGCACTCCCGCTAAATCCCCCCTCCCCCTCTACAGGCTCACCACTTCCTACCTACCCAATAAACTATTACCCACATAGTCTATCGGGTTGCGTCTGCAGCCGACTTACGCCCTAACCATTGTATCGCATTTGCACAAGGACACAGAGAAACTGCAGAAAAACAGACAAGTACTATAAAAGTTGGAAGAAGTCTGACGGAGCCTTTACAAATAGGCAGTAACACTCTCACAAGCATACCACGAAGCCTGAACTATTATTCACTTTATGTAAAGCGCCTCTGACAGAGTTTAATAACTCTTATCACCAATACTTGAGCATTTCAGGTATTGTGTGTTAGTGACTCGGTCAGTCAATTCTGATTCCAGCTTTGACTGGTATTTGTCAAGAGTAATTAAACTTACATTTACCTATTGTTTGGCTGTGTTGAAAGGAACAAGAGGACATCTATAATTTTTTAATTTGAGTCTTTGAGAACTAAGTTATAGATAAGATATTTGTTGATTCT